GAGAGAGAGAGAGAGAGAGAGAGAGAGAGAGAGAGAGAGAGAATCAGGAAAAGCTATTAGGTGAGCAAAAAGTTCTGAGCTTTAGATTTCATACAACCGAAACAACAATTTAAATTTTATTAATCTCCCCGCCCTTTTGCAGTTTTAAAATTGACATTTTGCCTTCTAAAATGCCATGCGGTTTGGCGTTTGATGCATATAACCTCAAAAATCAGTAGTGTTCACGATGACAATAATAAAAGAGCATATTCGATTTTCCATACACTTCGCGTTTCATCTGAAGAAAAATGCTGCTGAAGCCACTGAAATGATTTGTGCTTAACAACAATTGACCAATTTGAGCGATGCATTAGAAGAAAAGAGGCCATTTATTGGCTAACGAAGTCGTAAACTCGGGTAGAATTTTATCGGGATATGTCCCAAGTCCGTAAAGGGCCTAGATAGGCATGCTCTAAAATAGGCTTGGCATTGTTGGGCTTAGAAAGGGCGTACAAAGGCAAATTCTGAGTAGAATTTCCTTAACAGACCTTGTATAGGTACTATTGGGGATGCTCCTAACTAGGCTTACCACTGTTGCGCCTAGAAAGGACCTACAAAGACAAATTCTGAGTAGAATTTCCTTAACAGACCTTGTATAGGTACTATTGGGGATGCTCCTAACTAGGCTTACCACTGTTGCGCCTAGAAAGGACCTACAAAGACAAATTCTGAGTAGAATTTCCTAAACAAGCCCTGAATAGGCACTGTTGAGATTCCTCTAACAAGGCCTACCACTGTTGTGCCTAGAAAGGGCCTACAAAGGCAAATTTTGAGTTAGATTTCCTAAACAGATCCTGAATGAGCGCTGTTGGGGATGTCCTTAATAAGTCCTGCCATCGTTAGGCCTACATATGGCCAAGCAAAAGGATTTCTAAAGGAAAATTCGTAAATAGACCCAAAATAGGCACAGATGTGGATGTCCGTAGACATCAACACAACAAGACATGTACTTATATAATTCAGTCAAGGTCTTATTCAATTTTTGAAATAGTTAAAGTCTTACAGAATTTTAGTTTACAGTCTTAGACAGAAGTAAAATTCACAATTTATTTATTTATTAATTCACTTTATAAGTTTGAAGTAAAACCAAAATACCTATGATTTTGGTTCTCAAAAATATAGTTTTCTAAATAAGGTGTGTCCACATAGGGTTCCATACAGCAAATTTTCCGCAAGATAACTTAGAAATTACATTGAAATATAACATTGAAATAATTTAGAAATATTTGTGAAAAATTTTATCAAAATCTTGTTCACTAAAATATTTCAGAAATCGCTTATAATAAGCGTTGATTTATATATTTATATATAAATTTAATTAATTTAATGAAATCTTATATGGTAAGGTGGATTTCTCCTTCTTTTAATTGTACTCCTTTATAATTACTCAAAGTTTTATAGTCTTTCGTGACTTTATTTATTTAATAACAATCAACAATAAAAAAATTTTACTATAAAAATTTAAAAATAATGAAATGGAAGTGTGGAATTTTGTAGACCTCACCTCATTAGCTAAAGGCTAAATTAACAATAAAAGTATGAAAAATATAATTTTTATTAAAATTATATCATTTTATTAAGTTATATTATCAAAAAATTATATTACTATGTTAATCACAACACATATGGACAAAATGTAAGACGCTTATATCGATTGAACAAGTGACGTAGTATCTAAGGCAACAGATTCATAATCCAGAGGTGCCTCAGGCAGGGTCCAGGTTCGAGTCCCACTAGTGTCAGTGAGAATTTTTAAGTGTGATGTAGCATTGGAATCAAGTAATCTAAAGTTTTCAAATAAGATCAGCAAGCGCCTGTGACCTTTACGAATAGTTTCTATTAGAAAATAGTAGTACATATTCATACATAAAAGAATATTCTTTTCTATTTAGGGATGTCTAGATAAGGCCTACATAGGCGTGCCAGAATAGGATCTCGTCAGATTTATAAATCGGGCCCTGACTTACAAAAGCGTTACATCTCTGTACAGGGCTTATTCGGGCTTGCCTGAATGGCGCCTAGACAGAAATGGGGAAAAACTATCTAGGGACTTTACAAGCCCTTTTTTAAATTCCTACCCGGGAAGTGATTCTGCTTCATGACAATGCCCGACCACATGTTGCGAAAGCGACTCAGGACCATATCTTTGCGTTAGGCTGGGAACTTCTCCCGCACGCGGTGTATAGCCCAGACATGGCGCCTTCCGATTACTATCTATTCCGGTCGTTGCAGCATCACTTGGCTGATACCAGGTCTGTAAATATGAAACCGGAATTTGCCCATAGATGGCCCTAGCTGTCAATGTAGTTACCGTCAAACCGCGTCATTGGCGCCATTTCCTTGTTGACATCTCTGACAAGAAATTTCAACTCACAACAATACAAGTTTCATACAACAGCATAGTTTGTAATAGCGTTGAACATTGTCGAATTTTGTGCCTGGAAACTACGATTTGCTGACAGCATTGATTTTCTGTTACCATTTGAAGAAAACTGTTGCAGAATCGCATCGAATACTTGTCGAAGCTTATGGTGAACATGCTCTTGGTAAATCACAGTGCTTTGAGTGGTTTAAAAAATTCAAAAGTGGCGATTTTGACATGAGAAACGAAGAACATGGAAGACCACCGAAAAAGTTTGAAGACAGCGAATTGCAAGCATTGTTGGATGAGGATGACACTCAAACGCAATAACAACTCGCGGATCAATTAAATGTGACACGAGAAGCCGTTTCCATATGTTTGAAAGCCATGGGAAAGATCCAGAAGATGGGTTCCACATGAACTGAATGAAAGACAACAGGAAAACCGAAAAACCACTTGCGAAATGCTGCTCGCCAGGTACAAAAGAAAGTCATTTCTCCATCGAATTGTGACTGGCGATGAAAAGTGGATATATTTTGAGAATCCTAAGCGTAAAAGATCATGGGTAACTCCAGGCGAACCATCGACATCGACTGCAAGGCCAAATCGCTATGGACGGAAGACAATGCTCTGTGTTTGGCGGGATCAGAAGGTTGTGATCTATTATGAGCTGCTAAAACCTGGCCAAACCGTTAATACTGAACGCTACCGACAACAAATGATCGATTTGAATTAAGCTCTGCGTGAAAAACGACCAGAATATAAAAAAAGGCAACACAAAGTGATTTTGTTTCATGATAATGTACCATCACACACAGCAAAACTGGTCAAGGAAACGATTGAGGCGTTTAGTTGGGAAATACTTTCGCATGCGGCTTACTCACCAGACTTGGCTCCGTCCGATTACTATTTATTTGCATCGATGGGACACGCACTTGCTAAGCAGCGCTTCACTTCTTACGAAAATGTACGAAAATGGCTCGATGACTGGTTTGCCTCAAAAGAGCAACAGTTTTTTTGGCGTGGCATCCACAAATTGTCAGACAGGTGGGAAAAATGTATAGCTAGCGATGGGCAATACTTCGAATAAAATATTTTTTATCATTTTCATACAATAAACGTGTATTTTCTATACAAAAATTCCGGTTTCATATTTACATACCTGGTATACATTTCGTGAGATTTGAAGAGATACGAAAATGCATTGATGACTTTATCGCTTCGAAGCCGGTGAACTTCTATCGTCAAGAAATTCGCAAGCTACCTGAAAGATGGCAAAAAGTCATTGATGCAAACGGGGAATATTTCGCTGATTAATATTTTTTTGTTTGTTTTTGAATAAAGATTGAATTTTGCAAAAAAAAACTCTTGCTTACCTAATAAATTTAAATAGGAATGAATAAAAAATGCGTAAATGGGAGTTTTCAAAGGGGGATTAATTAAATAATAATAACTGAGCTTCAGGGTCGGCTGGAAAGTTTGATTCACCGTTCTGGAAAAATATTCAACAAAAATATTTATTCGTTTTCGCAATAACAGGCAGCACATGGTGCTGTTTGGTTACATTTGATATAGTTGTATTCCAACCGAGTCTTTCACAATATAGTTTACTATTTCGCGTATTTGGAGTACACAAAAGCCGGAGCTGTTCAAAGGACTCACAAGACTCGCGTAAATTTCCGTCGAGTCATCGGCAATAATAATTGATTTCGGCCGCGGGTTCTCTCGCGAAATTACGAAGCGGCCCAGCTATTTCGTGCAAGTTGCACGCGATTACGCATGATCTGGACGCAACCCCCCTTCCCCAGCAACGCGAATACCATACTCCTCGAAACTCCGAGTCCGAGAAAGTATGCTGCAGAAACGCGGCAAAAATTGCACGCTCGAGTTACGCGAGCTACTCGCGCAACAATGAGTTCTTAACTATTCGCGATTCGCCGGTAGTTCTATTAGCATGTAAACGAAGGAAGTTGAGCAACACAGCGAATCCACAGAGCACGGTTTACGTGTATCGCCTGGGACACGTTACAACGAGACGCGGGGCCAGGGAGTTTATGTGCCAGATCGCGTCGAGAAATTCACTTTTCCGTCAGCGATGACGATGGATCAGCACGATGTTAGCTCGGCTAGCTAGCTAGCACGTATTGAGGCGCCTTCGCCTTCTCCTCGGTAAACGCTGCTTTTCGTACCACATCGTCGTTCGTGCAGCCGGGAGAAAGTACGGCGGTTTCCTTCGCGGTTCTTCTCACTGCTCGCAATCTACGTCTAAACCCATGAAGGGCTTCGCCTTGATATCGAGCTCTCGTGCTTGTATCAACAGTTCTCGCTGCTAACTTGTTTCCAGCTCGAAGCGCTCGACTTCAGATTTGGATGTGCATTTTTTATGTATCTTTCTTAATACAGTG